AGACGCTAAACAGTTTTTTTGAGTCTCTCGACAGTCTCTCTCGGCGACACCAGAGAGACTCGATGAGAGACAGAGACTCGAGTCTCGCTTTCAGAGACTCTGTGAAACTGAACATTTTTATCTCGGGGCCTCATAGAACCATGGAAAAAAATCACTCTAAACAAGTTTTTACAATGTTACATTAGGTTAAAAGTTACTTTAGGTCCGCCTCACTTAAAAATATCTTTTTTAGTGTTCCTCAAATATATTTGCATCTAAACCACCCTATTTTCCCTTCTTTAAGTCGGAAATTGAGCCTTACTCATACTCGTCCGTTGTTACATAAGTTTTAGAATTTTCCATAGTAGGAAGCTATTAGGGCACGAGTACTTCTCGCACTTGGCCATTTTTACTTTCACTTACCCATCTTTATATCTCATCTTAAAGGCTTTGTTGTAATAGGTACTTATACACATAGAACAGTTGTTATAATTTTCCGAAGCGACTATTTTTATATTCTATTAAATAGCCTTGAAATCAGTTCAAATACCCGATGTCGATTTCGTTTGAACGAAAATAAATGGAAGTACCTACGGAAACTTAGTTAACGTACGAGTGAGAGATCACCCGCGTTCTATATATAGTTTGGAGTAAATGAATTTTTGTGCAGTAGGTGTTGATTGAAATGTGTTCGCAGGTATCCCACAACATACTTTCGGCTAAAAAATATTTGTAACATGTAACATCAGCAGGCTGTCTATTAGCTTATTTTCTAAAATTGATGCCTACGCAAGTAGTTCATTCAAGACTTGGTAAAAATGCTTCCGAAAATATCAAATACATTTAGATATACTTATTATTACCGCCCAACGACCAGTCGCCAAATACATAAAATATAGTTTACGGTTTTGAGCAGCGAATTACGTTTGAAATAAGATGACGTTGGAAGTACATACTGAAAAAATCAGAAACATGTGTGCCTGTTTTTCACTGAGAATAACAATAACCACCTTTGCAACTAAATCAAATTTAATTCTCTTTAACCTACGATTTTCATTTCAACTCAATGTTTGTTCAATTTTGTAAATCCAATATTTTGGACTCGTCTTCAACAAAAAGTCATTTCTGGGCTGTTATAGGTTTGTACGGATGCGAAACATGGACGGTGGGAGCGGCGGAAAAGAAAATTTTATAGGCAAGCGTTCGAAATGTGGTATTACATCAATAGAAATGAGAAAGTATTAGAAAGAATGGGAGAACAGGTGTCACTGTGGAAGTTTGGGAAACTCGGGAGTCGTGAATAAAACTGACGTGTAATCGTATTAATTATTTTAATTTCCTTTTGTATTTTATTTTGAGAAGTGAGGAGAACTAGAGGACCTTTCAATGTGTTATACTCCGACCGACTATCGAGTCTTCAATTTTTCATACACCAGGGTCAACGTTTAGAAAGTTACCCCCGGTGGGTAGTTGTCGAAAAGATATTTTTTATTGAGGACCATTAATAAATCGCCTGTACGTTCAAAGGCCAGTTACGCCTATTGTACAGACGTTTTATTTTTGTCCTCTGAAAAATACTAGTTTGTGTCCTCTACATCACCCCCTTACCAGTGATAACGAATACATATATATATTGTTTACATTTTTTACTGATTATAATGGCTTACTTACTAATGATAACAAATGAAATAAAGTCTTGTGTACAAAAAAAATTGAAAATATGTTAATATTAGGAAATACTTGCTATCTACTTTATACAATTATGCTAATTATTACTAGAACTACATGTGCTTACATAATATACAGAAAGTTATTATTTAATTAAACCCTGCTTGAAACCTTTCAGGAAACAATACTTTTCTACCTGATCGGGTCTTCGCGGGTCTTAGACTAACATCTATGTCATTATTTTTATTGGAATCGTTAAAACTAATATCTATTTCTTTGTCATTATTTTCTTGGTTATTTGCAAAATTTGANTATTCACGTCTCCCCCTCCCGCCACAGAAAAACACTTGTTTAGTGTTTTACAAGGTCATCCTCATCTCCATTCCCCCTTAATACATTATTTTGGATTGAAACTAACTTTTTTAAATTTTAAATTTTTTTATACATATTCTAAATTAACTTAATCTAATTTTTTGAATGATTTCCAAAATGATTTTGAGGGTAGAGGATTGTTATTGGATATAATTGCCGGATAATTTCAAATTCTATTTGAACATTGAAAACAAAAATGATATTTATTTAGGATTATGCATTTAGGTTCATCTTTAGGGGTCCGAACATTATTTTTAAGTCGTCGGAAACATATCTCTTTATTTTTTATTTTATTTTTAATAATTGTTTCTAAACAAAAATTTAAAGGGGAAAACCTGTTACCCACCTGGACTTAGCGTACCCTACCTAACAATATAAACTACCCTAATTCGTGTTAGGCTAGGTTAGATTAAGATGGGTAGCACTCCCCCTCTCCTTAATATTTTTATCTTCAAAATATATTCCCCCATAATAAATTTACTATTTTTATAAGGTATTGAAATGGTCTCCAAGAGATGAAAAAGTTTTTAGATTTTAGAGCGAGTTTAATCTGAAGCCTCAATTCTAAATAATTACCAGAAAAATAATTAATTTTTATATTTTAAAGTTGATGTGGTGATTATTTTTCAAAATAAGAAAAACTACTATGGGCAGATACCAGAATAAATGGTAGGCATGAACTTTTATAGATATTTTTTCAAGATCAATGCAACATAGGTATTCCATTTATTATGCAATGAGTATTTTCTTTCACTTTCAGTTTCTCATGTCCAACAGTAGGTAGGTACATCTTAGGCTAACTGTAGTTGACACCTCTCGCGTTGAAAAACATTTTTTATGAAGTTTATGGCTTTAATGTTTCCTTATCAACAAATAAATTAGTTGAATACGCAGTTAAGTTGTACTTCTTTGTCTGGCTCTTGACATGGATTACTGTTAAGTGATGTTCTGAAGAAAGTAGATACGTATGCAGATTCCTTTTCTAACAAATGATGTTAAAAGGCTTTTAAAAATGTAGTGGAAGGTGCTATTCACGGTGAATATTTGATAAGAAGGTGTAGCGGTTGCCGCGAAGAAGCTCGTATTTGAGAGATAACAGAGTTATTTTTCTTCGCTTATGTCAGACTAATAGTAATAAGACTTGGCTTCCAAAAGACTAGAGAATATTTCTATTCAGCAGAGACGTCTACGGTATAAACAGGGTGAGTCAATATCATGGAACAGGATGTCATAAGAAAAATAATAAAATATTCAAATACAGTAGAACCCTTTCAAGGAGAACCTCGATAAGCCGAAAACCTCCAAAACTCGAAAAAATGTTTTGTTCCCTTCCCTTCAAGCCCCAAAACCTCTGTTACTCGAAATCTCAACCCTCTATTAGTCGAAATAATCATAACATTAAATTGGACCTCTGTATCTCGAATATAACACTGTTTTATTTTACAACCATTACAACTCGATAATTTGAGACTTATTACGTCTTTAGTTCGAAGAAAACTAATCTATCGACTTTAAGGATAAGGACTCCATAAGCCGAAAACCTCCAAAACTCGAAAAAATGTTTTGTTCCCTTCCCTTCAAGCCCCAAAACCTCTGTTACTCGAAATCTCAACCCTCTATTAGTCGAAATAATCAGTGAGTCCCTGCAAGCCATTTTGGTACCTACTCTATAACTCGAAAAATTAAATTGGACCTCTGTATCTCGAACATAGCAACGTTTTATTTTACAACTCCATAATTTGAGACATATTACGTCTATAGTTCGAAGAAAACTAATTTATCGACTTTAAGGATAAGGACTCCATAACTCGAAAACTCTATAACTCGAATTTTTTTATATTATATTATATAG